TTTTTTTTTTTTTATCAAGAATGGGTTTGGGAAAAGCCTTTTCTGCATCAATTAATATAATCATATGATTCTTTTCCTTTTTTATTTATTTATATGCTGAAATATGTTGATTGTTTTTCTAATATTGAACCATCCTACATCCCTGGAATGGATCTTGCTTAGTCATGATTTATTATTTTTATTTTTCCTATATTGTTGAAATCTTTTGGTTGGTATTTTGTTGAGAATTTTTGCATCTATGCACATGAGGGATATTGGTCTATAATTTTATTTTAGTGACATCCTTCTCTGGTTTTGGTATGAGTTATACTTTCTTCATAAAATATATTTAGCAGTCTTTCCTTTTCCATATTCTGGAGTAGTTTGAATAAAATTGGTGTCAGCTTTTGTCTAAATGTTTGGTAAAATTCATTAGGAAAGCCATCTGGGCCTGGACTTTTTTTTGTTGGGAGTCTTAACGACCTGACCAATTTCTTTTTTTTTGTTATAGATTTGTTCTGTTTTTCTTCTTCATTCTGTGTTAGGTAGGTTTTGTAGTTTTTTGTTTGTTTGTTTTTAATGTATCAATTTCCAAATTTGTTGGAGTTTAGCTCTTGGTTTTTTATTGCAATTAGTTTGATATATTTTTCTATCCTTTAAATTTTAATCTTTTTTTGTCTTTGTGTGTAAGATAGTATCTTATAGAGAACATATTGAAAGATCCAATTTTCTTATGCATTCTGCTGCTCTCTATCTCTTGACATTCAGTGTCATTTTCAATAAGTATGAATTTATTGCAGTCACTTTTCAGTGTGTGTGTGTGTGTTTTGTGGTGCTGCTGTTTTGTTTTGTTCTGCATGCTTTCCTGTGCATTTTCCATATCAATTTCTTTATCATTTTCATGTTCCCAAAGTCTTCATGGATTTTCCTTTTCCTGATTTGCTGTGAAGGTATATTAAGTTTCTTTGAGGTTACCTTGCACTTTATTAATTTCTTCCTAATTTTAAAAGTCTTTTTATCTTGAAAACTACTTGAACTTCTGAACAGCTGGAATTCTATAAATATACTTTTGGCTCCCTTTGTTTGTAGTTGTCCTGATTATAGACTGAGATCTCATATTCCCTATTTTCAGTCTTGTGGTTTGTTCTACTCTGGACTCTTCCATATCTGTACTAAATTCCAGGTGGTGTTACCATATACGTCAATTTCTGGTTGTTGTGTGCTCTAGTTGGTTCTCAGTCCAAAGAACTCCCTTTAACCTTTTAGTATATTTTGGAGAGTTGGCTTGGATTTACCAAAGTCCTTCAATTTCTGTTTATCCAGGAATGTTCTAATTTCACCATCATATGTGATGTACATCTTTGCTGGGCATATGATTCTTGGTCGACAGCTTTTTTCATTCAGAGTTTTATATGTATCTCCCTATTGCATTCTTGCCTACATGGTTTCTGCTGAGAAATCAGAGCTTAATCTTAACTTGTTTTCTTTTGTAGATAACATTTTGTTTTTCCTAAACTGTTCTCAGGAATCTTTCCTTTTCTTTGATTTTGATATCTCTTGGTGATTTTCTTTTGTGGTCTATCCTGCTTGGGATTTGTTCGGTGTCTTAAATGTTTATCTTCTCATCTTTGGAGATGTTAGGGAATTTTTCTTCCAGCTGTTCTTTGACTTTATTTTCTATGGTTTTCTTTGTCTCCTCCTGTTCTGGAATTCCAATCATCCATAGGTTATTCCTCTTCATATTATCCCACTGGAATTTTAGGTTTTCTTCAAATCTTTTCATTAATTTTTTTCTGATTG